CGGAGGGCATAAGTACCCGAAAGCATATATATTGATATCCATATATAAAAAGGAAAGTGCACACACAAGAAAACGCAGGTCAAAAAGTGGAAGCGAATCAGCGGTTTCGACACAAGAATAAGGGTTCACAAGTCTAATGGTTCCACTTCTCGAGGTTTGAGATTCGGAATGTGTACTGTGTGTGTAGACAATGGAATACAATGTGAGCACAACTGCTGCATCAGAATGTGTCACAGATAGAGAGAAGCTTAGCGGTAAACTGGAAGTGTGANTCTAAAAAGTGCAACAGATTGCTGAGACAGGATTTTCCCTTCAGAAACTCATACTGTGCCGCAATCACATACATATATATGTACATATGTACATATCTTAGAAGCATTGTGACTACTTATTCACTAGCAGAACTTTTCCTCACTTCGATGTCGCCCGGGTGATTTGGACAAACTTCGTGGTCTATTTCCCTGCATGCCTATCGGTTATATATTCGTTTTTACGTGTACATACCTAGCTGTACATATACAACTATATATACAGGCATATACCACGCCTATTATCTCAATTTGCCCATTGATTTGTGACATGCTGTTTCTCCCCTTATCCCTTCTCAGTTGGGTATTACCCCAGACTGTTCAGTATGACTCTTTTGTTCCAGATACGGTTGGCTTAGACCTGTCGAAAGCTTGAGGTCTAAGCCCCCAATGGAAAATTTTGGCCCTGGCAGTGGTTGCTGGGCACGGCTGTTTCCACGGTTTTGTCTGCATTCGTCCGCATCTCGGCAAACGTATGAACTCGCTGTACTCCTTCCTATTTATCCTTATCCTTGTGACTCCATTTTTCCCCGTCTATTGTCCTACTTTCTGTCTCTCCGTATCTTCTCCCATTAGAGCAGCACTCCGAATCCCCACGATAACGGGTTGACAATTACTTCAATTTCGATTGATATACTTATACAGCACATTCTTCCATCCTCCACACCAACGTTTGTGACCTCGTCCGCTTTGTGTTCCGTTTTCGTTCTGCTCCCCTACCATCTCCAGTATGTAAGTCTTCCAAGTAGTCTATCTATACACCTGTACTATCGTCGTACATATGATTATTTTGAACATATGATCATGCCTCGTGCATGCTTCACGGGCTTGGTGAAATATACATTATTATTATTAATCAGCAAGTGGTGCTGAGTGAGGTATTCGAATAAGCAGGTTCTGATAATTTGCTCCAGCACTTTACACATGATACTTGTGAGACTAACTGGCCGATAGTTCTCCACATTTTGTCTCGGCCCTTCCTTGTGTATAGCGACCACAGTTGCCGTTTCCCAGTCCTGTGGTATCCCACCCTACTCTAGGGTTCTATTGTACAGGTGGCAGAGGACGTATTTCATGCTGAATGTTTTGAAAATCTTTCCGAACCCATAATGATTTATGATGAAATAACTTTATCTGTGTGTTGTTCCTATATTGACATTTCTCGATCACAAACACCACACATCATTATTTATCGGTTAATTCGATGCCCGGCACATTTGAATTTGGCGTGGTTTGAGAACGGGAGCGACTGTTTGCCTCTCTCTGGACATCTTATTTGGCTCGCTTACTTGAGTGCTTTGGCCGCATATTTGAGGTTTGTTTTATTGTACATTTTCTAATGATTTCGTTAATTCAGTACCGTAGAACATTGCGGATCAATTGTGTTTTTAATTCGGGATTCGTATCGGTTTCGACTACGCTCACTCGAGTGCGAATTGGTTGACGTACATGCTATGCTAAAAGATAAAAATATGTTCGGAGGTGTGCCAGTTGTTTCTCATATGATGAGCAGCCACCAGGATATCGTCTAGGTAAACAAAACAGAGCCTAAGCCTCTACAAACGTTGTCCATAAAACGTTGGGCAGATTGTGCGACGTTGCTTGAACCAAGTGGCATAAGGATGAATTCAAAATACCAAACGGTGTTACTACGGCTATTTTGGGGATGTCGGCTTCGTTACCTTTGTCTAGTTGTATGCGCAAACCAGATCCATGCGGCTGAAAACAGTTTCACCGACTAGGTTGAACATGAGATCGGCGATTTGCGGGATCGGATGCCTATCCAAAATTAGCACGCGTTTGATTGCGCGAAAATCTCCACATGGACGCCAGTCGTTGGTCGACTTTTTCAGAACCATATGGAGAGGGGACTCCCATGGATTTCGGGAGAGGCAGATGATGCCCATGTTCGGCATTTGCTGAAACTCTGCGCATGCGGTGCGCAACTTATCGGGTACTAATTGTAACGGCATTCCGAACAACGTGCAATACGAAGCGCAATGTCTCTACTTCGACTGACCAAATTTCCAGCACGTAGGAAAGCAGTTGAACGACAGTTGAAATTTCTTTCCTAATAAAGGCATACATCAACACATATCTGCGACTTACGAAAACGTCGTAGGTCCCAGTTACAGAACGATAAACAATAGAGCAAATCACGGGGCTAGACCACAAAGATACGGAGCAAGTAATGAGAAGGCTGGTTAACAAAAACTGTTAAACGTTTAGTTCATAAGAGAGAGAGGAGATAAGAAAAGAAAGATAATGGAATTAGAAAATGACTGTGTACAAAAGCTGTTGAAAACCGTCACACTGGATGACGGGGACGTGCGTGAACTGGAGGAGTTCGGGTGACGATACGGTGCGCCTGTCTCCCAAATTGACCAATGAGCAATGCGTAGCCGAGATTGGATCCCAAAACGTCAACAAAATGAACAATCCAGCAAATTTCTACGGTACCGCACCAATAAACGATCAAATGAACAAGTAAAATATGTACAAACCTCAAAAGTGATCTCAGAACTAGCGGGAGGTCAGGTTGCGTTTAAAGCAAATATGGTCTAGGTGAAGCACAAACAAACACAGTAAAATATTCGGATGTATACGTAACTTCACAAAGGAGGTGGAACTTCAAATGTTTATGTATGCACGGGACGGATCGTGCTGGGCGAACGAAACGTGGAGTACAAGAAATTTGATGGTTCCTAGGAATAAGGAACCTTAGGTATGAGAACAGACTAGAGAGGCTCGAGCTTTACTCACTAGCAAGAAAAAGAAGAAGGGGAGATCTGATTGAGATATTCANAAACTCTTAAAGGATTTGAATGACATTGGGGAAGAGGGGCGACCACTACTACTTCCCAGCGAGAACCCAACGTTAAGGGGAAATGACCTTAAGTTAGCTAAGGTCAAGATATCCACCCACATAAGGCAGCAACCGTTTGCCATGAGGGTGGTGAACGACTGGAACTAACTACCCAATAAAGTAGTCAATTCCAGTTCAGTGAAGAGTTTTAAGACCCGCCTGGACTCTGTATGACAAGGACTTTTCACCTAAGAAGCTGCCTGCGCAACGTANCGTAATTATCCGGCAGCTCCACTACCTCCTTCTGCCCTCACTGCTCTTCCTATCCCTCTTCGACATACTGTCACTTACTCTTTACCTCTTTATCTATTAATATTATCATTTATTCATTCTACCCCGTATCATATCCTCATCCCGTTACCATTATTCGATCAATAACTTTACCACTAGAACTCCCCAACATTTTCTGCCGGGGTTGTAACTTGAACGATGCGGGTGTCAGGGTCTGCTGCCCTAATCCATTAGGCGTGACCGGGATGTGAGCGAGAGCGAAGGATCAACTCACAACTCTCCTGAAGCTTATGATCGCAAAATTGAAGAAGAGTCATTTCCCTCTTCCATCTGTCACAGCATCGGGGATCCCTGGAGCCCATCGCTGAAAGAAACCGGACCAACTGGCACACCACAGTCAACGTCCTGAAACCAAACTGAACTGAATCAGGGTGGTAAGTCTGGGTTTTACAAGAAGGATTTTCATGGATCAATCAATAAACCGCCTAGCAAAATCCGTTTGCGCATCGTACGGTCAAAAGAAAATTCGAGTTAGTACCCAATCTCACTTTAAAAACTGACTCCTACGTTTGTGATATTCTATTGTGCCTCTTGTCGTTCTCGCCGTCTCCGACAGCTCAGGAGGTTACCCACAGGCCGTTTTCCAAAACTCACAGCGCCTTCATCGTGAACCCGGAGGATCCCCCAACTGCCGGTGCTCCTGGCCTGCTCTGCCCATTCTTCCTCCAGGTGGCAGATTCGGCGGATGTCTCGCTGGGTTTCGCCAGCCGCCGCCTTCACTTCGACCGTACGTACGAGTTCGTCTTCGTCCGGGTGACATTCTTCACTGGCTCCCAGAGTCCGTTCATTTCTTCGTGAACATTTGTCTGCAAGCAGCACTATGTAACTTACTTAAAAGTTTCTTTCTCTAAGTTTCCCTTTTTGGCGTGCATGTAGTGTAGGGACATACTTTCGGACCCAGCGCTTCCAGAAACCTCCAGTCAAATAGGTTGCCTGCTTCCAGCCGTTCGAATAACATTTGGTAATTCTCCGGGGTACCCCTGGTCCGTGAACTGGTATCAAAAGTATCAGGTCGTTTCGCGTGAGTTTGAGACCCGGGACTTCATTAGCAACTGGGGTCAGTGGTCTATTGTTCAGTCTACGTTCTACCTCGATCAGCGCTCTACTCAATGTTTTATCTTCGATGGCCTGTTGATGGCACCTTGCCAATAAGATCCTTCTTACCGATCTTATCATACGTTCCCACAACCCCTTCTTTGGCATAGAGGGAGTGG